AGAAAGAAAGAAAGAAAGAAAGAAAGAAAGAAAGAAAGAAAGAAAGAGGTCCAGATGATTAGATCTCCTCCACTTTTGTTTGCAATGATTATCAGTCCTTGTGAAAGCTGAATGTCCTTCTAAGATACAACTATATCTAGGATTGCCTGACACTGGTTCACCAGAGCTTGTATGAATACAACTAAAGCTTGTTAATTGTAGTACACTTTTCTGATGGCTGGCTTTGCATCCCTTCAACTGAAGGATCTATGAGTACATCAGGCTGTGTATTGTTTCTGAAGAGTTATTTGCATTTAGAAGAAAAATACTAATACTTGGGGGTCCCAAAGGTGCTATTTCAAGAAGCAACTGAATCTTGTGTTTTTTCTTGGAAGAAATTTCATTTTTCACCCAAGGAGCTTCTTTAGGTCTGGATGACTGATAATCTCCATAGGCATAGGTTCATAGAAACTACTGTTGTATATGTAATGTTGTTATGTTTTTAATTGTAAATTCAATAAAATTTATTCAAAAAAAAGAAAGAAACTGAACAAGGAGAGATTTAACCTGGAAATAAGGAGAAACAGACAAATCAACTAATGGAACATCTTGCTCTTGGAAGTTGTGGGAGTGCCATCATTTGAGATTTTCAAGAATAGATTGGACTGCCATTTGTCAAAAATGGTGTAGGGTCTCCCACTTGGGTGGGTGGGTTGAACTAGATGACATACAAGGTCCCTTCCAACTCTGATTATCTGTTATTTGTTATCTGTTAGCTCCATTCTCCTGTGCAGGGCAACAAAAGAAGAACCAGCCAATCAGCTGGGACTTGGGAGGCAGAGAATAGATGGGGTGGGGACAGTGAGAAGTGGTATTCTCTGAACTACTCAATATTTCTCCTACTGGTTCTCCAGGACTGGTAAGAACCTGCTAAATACCACCTCTGGCCCTTATGTGTTCAGAAAGAATCAAGTCAGAACAATTTAACAAGAATAGAAATTTTGGTCAGGTTAATGCAGAATGAATCTGATCATCCTTTCTTTGAAAAAAGTAAAAAAAAAATAAAATGAAATGAAGCTACACAAACAACAGAGATGTAATGCAACTTTTTGTTTATTTTTCATCATTCATTTAAAAGCATATGGAGGAGGTATTATTGCTGGTTTACATAAAATTTAGGATATTCAGACTTTAGGTTATGTGCTGGTTGTAGGCTACAGAGGAAAAAAAGGAAAGCACTGGGAAACATCTATGTAGGTTACAATGGTTGAAATTGAGCACAGAGCATGAAAAAGAGTTCAGGACATGAGCCAGAGGATCAGCAGAAACCAAGATCTTTCCCGTAGAAGAGAAGCCATCTTGAGGGAGACTCCATTCTTCTCATCTTCAAACACTGTTAAATCTGGCCTTCCTCATAGTGCACAGGCAATCCGTTCTCACAAGCAATGACAATATACCTGGGCGAGTTGTTTTCCCTGTAATCACAAGGAGGTTTGGTGGACGATCCCTTCATCTTGCAGGTGGTGACCCGGAACTGTTTCTTGCTACGCCGAAATCTGTTATTGATGGCTTCTCCACCATCCCCACAGACAGCAATGATTTTATTCCTTGTGTCATGGATGAAGGTGTTGACCTTCTTACATCTGGGTCGGGTCATTCCGCGCCTTTGCATCATTTTATTACAGTAGTTATCTCCCACGTTGCTTTTGGGGTTATCGTAGTGCTGCCTCAGGAAGGTCTCGTAATCCGCAGCAAAGGTGCCCAGCATCAGCACTGCAGCCAGGACTATGAAGAGTCCAAGGCCAACTCCTTTGAACATCATGATCAGCTCTGCCACAGAAAGAAGGGAGAAGATGCATGAATATCTCCATTTGAAAGCATTGGTTCAAATATCGAGCACTGAATGGGACCTATTTCCTCTGGCTGTTACGGAAAATATTTGACTCTCCATGTTGTCAAAATTAGGGAATTTTCATCAGAAGCTCCTCCAGGGAAATTCTAAGGAGGCTGCACCCCTTCCAGTGGAAGCCAACCATTGAAATTTTCCCAGACATTCATATTGAGACAGGAATTACATTAGCTTCTGAGCTGACTTCCTTTGGTGCTCAATAGAAGGGCTCTACAAACATCCTTGAATTGGATGTTCTACCAAAGTAATATTCTTAAGGTGTATGGCAGTGACCTTGGGAGACAGAAGAAACAGCCAACAACTACCCAATGGTCACATAAGAGGCATCTGACCCAGCAGAAGAAATGGGGCCAAGGCAAACGTTGTAGAAATCTCCTTGGACTGTAAAGGTGATAAGAGTGGGAAATATACTTTCAGACTTGCAAGGTATTCTTAAGATAAACTTACAATATGAATAGAGCTGGAACTCCTGGGTATGTCTCTTGTTTGGACTACTACACAAAACAGACAAATATCAGCTCTATTTCTTGGGAACCTCCTCCCAACCTTTACTACCTCTTTGTTGTCTCTAGTCACCTCATTCCTCTGACTTTTCTCCCAAAATATGTTTTTTATCCCCTGAGCCATCCTTGGATAGGGTCAGAATTAAGAAGAAAATATTCCTGAAATGTTATTACTTAAGAACAACTTAATAAGTCTATCTCACTCATGAGCTTGGAGGGAGCTGAGATCTAACTCATGATGAAGGTAGGTGTCTGCCCTTCAGTGTAATACAAGCCCTATGAAAAGATAGCTTAAAATGCAGCTCAACTTAGTATTGAGAAGCCTTATCCAGTTCAGTGAGAATCAAAATCTTCCCTAGGAACATCATCCCTTCATCTTAGCCTTCCCTGGTCTTAGACTCACCTGAATGTGACCTTGAAGAAGAGAAGGGTTCTCAACCTTCCGTCTTCCTCTGTCCTTCTGCATCTACGATCCCGTTATATAATGGCCCGCTTGCAAGGGAGAGGTGGAGCAGGAAAGAACTACAATTGAAACCCATACTCCAAAAAAGAGGAAGTGAGCATGGACAGACGTTAATTTCAAAAGAGAAAAAAAAGGTTCACGTGTGCAAGGACATTCTGGAAGCGAGCGTGTTTGTGCATGAACCTATTTCACAGCTGGATGTGAGCAATGCTGTTGCCTTATCCCCAATGGTGAAACCCTTACTGAAAGAGACATGACCACCTGAAACTTCTCAAGCAGCATAATGCCTCTGAGTAAGGGCAGCGTGGATGTCCTTCAAACAACAGAGCCTACTGCTATCTTGTACACACATCTGAAGAGTTGGCGAGAAGGAAGATGAGATTTCCAGCATGATTCTTGCATTAAAAACAAGTAAAGCTTATCTGCACATATATGTTTATTTGCAACGGATCACACTTCTATATTCCGATGTGTTTTTAATTGATCAGGAAGAGACCTTGTAGGCAATCTAGTCCAACCCCCAGGCCAAGCAGGAGACCCTACAGCATTTTTGATAGATGGCAGTCTAATCTCTTCTTGAAAACTGCCATTGATGAAGCTCCCACAACTTGTAAAGAGAAAGCTGTTCCATTGGTTGACTATTCTCATTGTCAGAAAATTTCTCCTCATTTTCATGTTGAATTTCTCCTTGTTCAGTTTCCATCCATGTCTGGCCTTCAGGTGCTTTGGAAATAGCTTGACCCCTTCTTCTCTGTGGCAGCCCCTCAAATATGGGAACACTGCTATCCTGTCTTCCCTGGTCCTTCTCTTCACTAGACTGGACTCTTCACTAGACTTTTAAAGATGCCAATGGTTATGGGGAATTTTATAAAGAGAAAACACGTGTATATGCTGTCCGGGAAGGCAAAGCAGGGAATATGTGGAATATGTTTACCTTGAAATAACATTTCTTTAGTGTATTCCAGGCTGGATTATTGTTTTTTGAAGCTGACAATATTAAAATATGTGGACTTCAACTTTCAGAATTCCCTAGTTGACATGTTGGTTACAATAGAATGCCTCTGAGAAGTATTCTTGGATGAATTAGCAATGAAGAAGTTGACTTTGGAGGAATCTTCAGATAGTGGAGCAAAAGTCTTCCTGCCTTGCTCCATTTAATTAAATGCCGTGGGAATGGAACCCTGTTCTACTTTCATTGTCTCTATTTCCTCATGATTAGCAGATATGGCATTGTGGTCTCAGTTAGCAATGAAAACATGAGGTAGCCCAAATATGGTGGGTGATTTCTTTCAGATTTACAGATTTCTGAAACGAAGAGAGCATGTGTATGGGAGAGAAGGAGGTCCGAACCCCATGGCTCCAGATACCTGACTAAAAGTCCATTCAATGGTTACAGGTCATGTGGGACTTCACTTGAGCAATTATGGCCTTGGTCTTGAGGTTTTTGACCTGCTGTATAAATACAACTGAATGCAAAGAACTCCACAGCGCCATAGCAAATAAATTAAATGTCAATATGTCAAAATAATACAAAATTTGTCGTATTTCTCACCTATATTTTTCATGGAGGAGTGATGATGAAATTTCAGCCAGGTCTCAAGAGCGACCGTAATATCCCAATTGCATCTCCATTATAGTGGATAGGCTTTCAGAAGCTCTGGTGATATTTATTTATTATTTATTTATTTAATTTATATTGCCGCCTATTTGCCCAGGGTGACTCAAGCCAGCTTACACAATGTAAAACCATATTTTTTTTAAAAAAAAAACTAACTAAAAGAATCAAATAAATTAATGAAGTATAATAGAACAAAATCTGGAAAAAAATAAAAATTCAACCCCCACAACTCCCACCCCTTGCTCCGACAACAGCATATCACACGAGCAATTTGATGGGCTCCATCCCACTCTGCATTCCCTAGGCCTGCTGGCAAAACCAAGTCTTTAGTGCTTTTTGAAAGAGTGCTAGAGTGGGGGCCATTCTACTCTCTGGGGGAATGATTTTCCAGAGAGAAGGAGCCACTGCGGCTTTGCTCCGCATTAGGAGGGCTTCTCATTGAGTCCAATGCATCAAGAAAGAGACCAAGCCGGTTCAGTCTTGGATGAGCAGCCCCGAACACGGGCTCAGGGAAGCTCTTTTATTGAACACACATTGTTAAACGTCACAAAAGAGAGATTTCAGTCTACTTTACATGTTAAAAGAGTGGGGGGTCTCAGTGGATACATTGTAGCGCCCAATCACAGTGCTTAAGGGATACAAAGTAACCAATCCGCGCCTGCAGTCCAGCCAGTAGCCCAAGGTGGGCAGCATCCTTTTGTTCCTGATACCTGCTTTCAGCCTACGTGAGGTCTTGCAGGTATCGAAACTCCTTTGCCTACGTGAGGCTTTGGCATCTGCCCAGGCTGTTAGATGTGGATTCGCTGCTGCATCTCCTCTGTTTTAGTTTTACGCAGAGGGATTTCTTCTGGTTCTTTGCTATAGCCCATACAGAAGCCCGTGCGCATGTTCTCATCGAGGTCCTCTGAGGGTATAGCTTTGTACAGAGATTCTTTTTCCCAGAGGGCATTGACCTGTGCAATGGCGCGTTTTTCTGCTAGCAGTGACAGACTATTGGAGATGGTGCGAACAAAGATTGGTAATATACATGGAAGAATGACACACCCAGCAGCAATAATACCTATGAGCGCTACTATAGCTTGTAATCCTGGCAGTTTTGGGAGCCAGGAGCCAAAGATATTTTTGAGGTCCATACCTCGCCATACTTGATCCGGATTGTAGGTTAATTGTCGCATCTCAGTAGTTAACTGCGCTATGACTTTGCCAACCTTGTCAATTTGAAGACAGCAATTTGTGAGATTAAACCTTCCACATACCCCCCGTTCCTACGGCTTCCCTTTTTTTGCGAGACAACATGTCATAAACAGGGATGCCTAGTTCCTGCTTCACTGAGATTGGAAGGAGGAAGAAGGAAGGTCTTATCCATCCCAATACACATGACCCTTGCCAATCTGCTGGGAGGGATGGGTAGGCTAGGTTGCCGCAGATCCAATACATGTCATTGGGTGCAGTCCAGTTCTGGGAGGATGAAGTATCCCTGAGATAAGGGAGGAGGGTAGTGTTGAATTTTGTGGGTGTGCTAGTAGCATTATCAGGTGCTGTCCAATTCCGGTAGGAGATGTCCCACGTACCTAAACAAAGGAGATGTCCTACCGGAATGGACCCGTTTCGGGAGAAGCAGTTGCTACCGATTAGATTGGTAGTAATTGTCCAGATAAGGGGGTCGGGGGCAGTTCTGGCTGTTACGTTTCCTATAGAAGACATGTTGTTGAACAGTGATGGCGAGGCTTCTAAGGCTTGCCATGGCCACAGTTCTCCTGTGGTGGTTCCCCCGCAGACAAAGCAATTGGTTATTGCAAGTTGTTTTGCAATTTTTTCTGCCATGTCCATGAATAGTTTTTTTGCTATTATGCTGGTATCAGGGGCTTTATCTAACTTTCTTAAATTATTATACACTGACCAGCCTAATGATGTTTCCTTACCCTCATATATCACTTCTGTTTTTATAGTAATGTAGGTGTTTGGGTCTGCTCCTATGCCATCGATCCCTATACCATAGGTATCCATGGCGGGGTGTTGTCTGGAGATAGTGATCTCTACCTTGTTGTCCTTGGTAGACCCTGATACTCGTTTAAAATGTGACAGATGATTGCAGCCTGAGTACCCTCCCCCAGTGTAATCACAGACACAAGACCAACCCGAGCATTCAATGGAGCCCCCGCAAGGGATCCAATGATTAGGGTTTCCTACGGCCCAATTGATGGGCGTGGGACACAAATACTTATGATCATGAGCATATTTGGTTTTCCAATCATCTGACCCACAAGGATATCCCCCTGGTTTGGAACAAGCAATGCAAACATCAAAAGTTAAGACAATTGGGTCAGTACCATCCTTAAGCACAGTGGTGTGATTTAGGTAGTAAAGTTTTCCCTCCCCTTCAGGATCGGCTCTGCCAGAGGCTTTTGGAAGTCCGGCCCACAAAGTAACATTGAGGCGAACAGCCATCTTGGGGTCATAGCAAATAGTTTTTGAGTTCATTTTGCATAACTGATACATAGTCCCGTTATTCTGGCAAGTTTTCCCAGTAGAAAGGCATCTCTGAGGTTGCTGGGTATGGTAAATGAGAGTCAGTTGAGTGAAGCCTGCTTGTGTGGTTTTGGTCAAGCAGGGGGTGCAGTCATCTGGTTTGGTGGGTTTTTGTGATCTTTTAATCCTATGCAGCAAAGGGGGGTTCTGAATATGAGTGTCAGGCTGATTCACAAATTGTCTGTGATGATGATGAGGTGAGCGAGGTCTGAGGATTGTCCAGGAGCTGTAGGTGTTGTGCGTAGAATCATGGAGGCGTCGACCTGAACAATAGTAGGTGGTGGCAGTAGGATGGGATATGAGGAGTGTAGCTCGAGGGGGTTGTTCAAAGGTGTTGACCCGGAAAGAGGCGTTGCTGGATATGTAGGACCATGGCTGAGGAAGCGTTGACCATCTGAGATAAGGGGGAAAAATGTCCCAGGATGCAGTGCAGGTCAGCAGGAGGGGGGTGTCTGGCGTGAAGTATGTTACTCTGGATGGAATGGAAACTTTGGAGGCGTGTGCAGCAAGGAGGAAGAGGAGGAGGAGGAGGGTCAGCAAAGCAGCAGGGCAGATCATGTTGATATGTCTGCAGCTGGTGGTTTTGCTACCTTGGGGTGGTATGGACTGATGTGCCATCCAGGAACCCACAGGACACGATCTGGAAGCTGGATAGCTGCGTAGCCGCGACCCCAGGTGAGGAGATCAGCAGGACCCTTCCAAGCAGGGTCTGGCAGTTGGCGGTAGTATACCTGTGGTTTGGGAGAGTCAGGAGAGGGGGGGAGGAAAAGTGTCGCTCCGCTGCTGTCGTAGCAGGGGTGCCAGAGAGATTGAGGAAATTAAGCGTATAAAGGCAAAGATTAAGGGTGTTTTGCATCGCCGGGAGGCCAAGGGGTTTTTTCCCTTTGGTCAGATGTCGTTCTAGCGCTGTCT